CTACCTATAACAAATATTTCTTTAGACCCCTTTCCCATTTCATTATCCTTTCCCTCCTTTTCACTGTTCCCTTCCTCTCCTGATATATTCTTTTCAACCTTTAATAGTAAGTACATTCTATTTCATAAAATTCCACTGAAAACACAAAAAACTGAAAAAAGCGAAAACCTGAAAGTCAAATGTTTCATCGCAGTTGAAAACCAGTACAAATCGGCCAAGCTTATGACCCAGCGCTTTCACACTTTCAGTTTTACCCGTACCAGCCGGACCAAACGGACTTCCACCCAATCTGCAACATTCGTCCAATAAAACACCAACATGTGCTTTCAAATACTATGCTTTTAAAAAAAAAGACAAATTGCAATAAAAAAGCTATATCACCGAATGGGGTATTTCCAAAAGAAAAAAAAAAACCTAAAAATACAAGAATCCTCGTAAAGGATATCCACCAGAGGACCTTTCACAAAAGGCCCTAAAAAGATACCTCAAAAACTTACAAAAAAAAATAAATTTTTTTTAAACGCGATTTGAAAAAGACATTTAAAACAAATCGCAAAATCCAAAAATTTACAAAAAAAAAGAATTTTTAAACGCGACTTGGCAAAAAGATTTAAAGCAAATTCGTCAAAAAAAAGTGTCCAAAAAACTCTTCTGAAAAACATCAACACCAAAATAACTTGCCGGAAAAAATTTCGAAAAAAACTTTTCAACAATTCATAAAAAAAATTTTCCAGCAGATCGAAATTTAAAAAAAAAATTTTTTTCCAGCAAATTACAAACTTTAAAATAAAAATGTTCGAAAATGGCCTGGTCTACATAATTTAGAATTACCTGGAATTCAATGCCTGTGTCATTGTCAAGTAGCATCGATCGGTCAGGGGCGTCTGTACAAGCTTCTCTTGCAGCCCCAAATACTCAAAACCGTACGGGAAATGCGCATTGGCCATTTTGACGGTGCAACATGTACGAGCATCCGAGAGCCGCGAATCGAAATAGAAACGCATACATTTGAGCCAATGAAAGCTTGTTGCTGAGGTCACCTTGTTCTGTATCAAACTGCGACAAATATCCCTTTTGTGTACAAATTCTGTGATCTGTAAAATCACTAAAATCATCGGAGGCACTCAAAAAACAAATCACTAAAATCATCGGAGGCACTCAAAAAACAAATCACTAAAATCATCGGAGGCACTCAAAAATCTTCACCAATTTCTCTCTACTTTTTTCCGGAAAAGGGAAATACCGACCGTTTTATCAGCCAATTTAAACGTACTACTAATAAGCTACTTGCATGTGCTTTCGCCTCTCATCAAGTAGGTATGGGGAAGGAGTTTTGAACTTCGTTTCGAT